TCAGAGATGAGATCTTTCTCCGTAGTAAAAAGTATCCTATAATATGTTGATTCGGATAACCAACTATCACCATACCAAATTTCATCATAATCCCTCCAGTGGTTTTTCGTGATGCGGTAACAGACAGACAGACCAAAAATTCTAAAAACTATAGATTCGGCTTCTGTATCGATAATAATGTCTATTTCAATCAAATTTTCCAAAAAACATTTGATGTACAGATTCGGCTTAGTTACAATTTTATTATATGTATAGAATATAGATAGATATCGCAATATTTATAATATATAAATTACCTTATAAGAATTAATTTTAAATAATTTATGTAATTGTTAACACATAAATATCGACTTTAATACTTAAAGGTAAAATTAGAGGAGAATCCGACGTTAAAGCCCTCGGTAGGCGGATCATACTTCATATTGTCAGCATCCCTCGAGAGACATATCAGATCGAAATGACCCTGAATATACATAATTAAAGTAGAAACAACTCTCAAGAGATTTATCAGCGTTTCGGCTTATTTGAAATGGAGCGGCATTGTCGCTAGATTTATTTAAAATCCAATACAATTTATTACTTGAAGTTTTAAGTCTGATTGTACAAAACCTTGATTATTATATATTGTTATATTAGGGGTAAGATATAACTTATTACACAATAAGGTTAGATAGCACAATATTTTATTTAATCTGTGTGATGTATTTTTTTAAACTAATTATAAAGATAATTAGTTTTTATACAAAATATTGGTTATTTTTAATTTAATACCAATCCCTGTTTTAAACGCCTGTCATTTATAGGTAAATTTAATTTTTTTTATTAGGTAAATTTCAAAATGATTAGGAGGCAAAATCAAAATTCAGTTGACGTTATGCAATCAGCATTTTCTTTCAGCGTTTAGAATATTGTGACATAACCGTTGACCTTTGTCACATTGACCCGATTCAGTCCAGGAGGCAAATACTCACTGTTTTGTAATGCTCAGATGACATCAATCGTTTTATTATTTACTAAAATATATATTCTATTTTAGTAAACATAATATTTAATAAATATTACATTTACTGAAATATATATAAAATATACCATTGGAAAATCTGACAGGTTCTTTTTTAAATAAATTTGCTGGACAGCATCGTAGAAATCTTTAATGTATGTTGTAGCCAGATCACAAAACTGGCCATTTCATAATATATTGGACCATTTTATAAAATGGTTGTATTTCATGATGAAGCCACCTTAAACTGACCATAACGTTTAAACGTCACCGTTTGATGCTATGGTAATCCACGTTTGGCCATATCATTAATATAGGGTGTCCATAACGTATAAGGTGTAATAAATGTCCTAAATAAGAAATTTTTCAGGTAATACCCGACACCTGTAATTTTCAAGTCAGATTTGTCACCGAATTTAAAGTTAACATAAAGCGCTTATATTTAGATATGGGCTTAAATTTTAAAAATAAAAAAAGACCTAACGAGAAGACTTCTTACCTACCGTGATACGAGCCAGATTTGTCATCTAATACAAGAAAAATAATTATGAAAAGGACAATAATTAATGGTTGATGAAAATTTAATAAAATGATGACTGACCCAATTTTCAATTTTTTGTTGTATAAAGATATAAATAAAAATATATTTTAAGTTTTCTGACATTCGTTTAATTAATATGAGTACTTTAAGCATGCGCTGATTATTCATTGATCTGGCCGGACCACATCATGATATGGCCACTGGGTACTGTTCTAAGTATATCATGCAATGGTCGAACATATTATGATCAAGCCTACGATCTAGCTACAACACATACACAACAAAACTGACCGCATAATGTTACAAGAATAAAAATAAATAACATTCCCAATTCACATAACACTATTTTATCACTAAAGGTTCTTAGTAAGTCTTAATAGAAGTAAATATAGCCATGTTTTTTAATTTTTATTCCTCACATAAAAGAATAATTAATAATATGATAATATGCAATTATTAATTACTATTTATAATTTTATTGTTAATATATGACCAGTTTTAATACATCTTGCGTTATTGAGAACGTAATATAATTACATATAAATAGCTTTTACGTATCTCCTAAAGAGGATCATTTTCAAAGTCTTGTTAACGACCGCAAGCGGAAATGTATGAATGTAAAAAATTTATTTGCACCATAGCCAGAGATTGAAGTAGGCCATATCTGAGGATTTGCACAAACAAAAATTTAAATAGAATTTTGTTATTTTTACTGTGTGTCATAAACAGTTTTATCAACATTTTTTACTTTTTACTGCCTAAGATTCTTTTATTCTGTTAAGAATAGCGAACGAACACCAATTACATTTTCATGTTCAGGGCCATTGCTCGAATTTATTCATACCTTAGACATTTACAAACTGTTATTGCGTCAAAAATATTTATATTTTAGAAAAAATAAGCTTCACCCTAAATCCCTTACAAGGTTAGGACTTAGGAGACAGATAATGGATTAATTGACCTCGTTCTTGCCTGCCTTGAGCTTGGTCTGCCTTTCTTCATCCTAAGTTTAAATTAAGCCGGAACCGGTCAACTGGGGACCTTCTAGTGTGTGCCAATCACATCTTTGGCGAAGCTCTTGAGCGAAGCGGGGAGGCGATTGCCGTCTCCCTCGATGTCTCAAAGGCCTTTGATAGGGTCTGGCACGATAGCCTTATAAGCAAGCTTGCAGCCTATGGCATATCTCCTGGCCTGATCCGCTGGATTAAAGACTTCCTGAGCGACCGATTACTCAGAGTTGTGGTTGAGGGTTGTTCATCACAACCCTTAAAGACCAACTCAGGAGTTCCTCAGGGGTCTGTTCTCTCTGCAACCTTGTTCCTGCTGCATATCAACGATCTGCTTATACCCGGTATCTATGGGTACGCAGACGACAGCACTATTGTAGAGAGATACCTGCCGAATCCTCGGGCCAGTAGAGATCAAATTCAGTCCGAAAGAGAGGCCATGGTAGAGCGGTTGAATCTCACACTCAGGACAGTCTCCACTTGGGGTGATGCCAATCTTGTGAGTTTCAACGCCACCAAAACACAGGCGTGCCTGTTCACATCAAAACGGAGTCCTTTTACCTTGACCCCTACTTTCCGGAATGTGCCTCTGGAATACACTGACCGTCTGCAGTTGTTGGGCATGGACATTCGCCCCAATATGAACTACGGGCGGTTCATTGAGTCTAGGGCTAATATCGCAGCGAGGAAAGTTGGCATACTAGCAAAGGTCCGACAGTATTTCACACCGGGACAGCTTCTTGTTTTATATAAAGCTCAAGTCCGGTCGTGTGTGGAATACTGTAGTCACATTTGGGCTGGTGCTGCGAAGTGCCATCTGTCAGCCTTAGACTCAATTGAGAGGCGTGCCCTCAGGCTTATTGGTGACCCTACGCTGGTAAAAGCTAACTTACAAAGCCTCGATCACCGACGTAGGGTTGCCAGCCTTTGTGTATTCTATAGGTTACATTTCGGAGAGTGTGCGCAGGAACTACACGGCTTGATTCCTCCATCTCCTTTCTACCATCGGACAACCCGACGAACGGCTGGTCTCCATCCTTATGTCGTGGACATTCCACCCGTCCGGACGAAACGTTTCGCTACGTCATTCATTATACGTGCGGCTAAGGATTGGAACAACCTGCCGGCGTCGGTGTTTCCGTCCGAGTACAACATGGGTGTCTTCAAGGCAAGAGTGAATAGGTGGCTACTGAATTAGTGTGACTTACCATCTACGACTGCGTTACCACTTACCATCAGGTGGAACGCAGTCAAGCACTAATTCAGAATACAATAAAAAAAAAAAAAAAAAAAAGTTTGTCAAAAGTAATATTTGTTTTCTTTTATGATCAATAACACGTTACAAACAATAAAACTACAAAAATCTTTACTTAAGTATTCTTATGAAAATTCTATAAATACTCCGCCTATTCAGTTCGACCTTATGTAGATTATAGCAGAAACATAATGTTAAATATACTCGAGTCAATAACCGCGAAAATACGAGAAAACTTTCATTTCAACAATGTTATTTGCACAGGTCATTAAACTTTTTTACTCGTTAAATATTCCTTACGTATGTCAATATTCAATTATTAGAATAATATTGTTTTATTTACTTTATGGATAATAAAAACGTTGTCGTGGGAAGCCCGAAATTATGGGAACAAATTACAATCGCTTAAAGTGGACATATTATGTATGGACCATGCAAGTGACATTTTATTTTTCGAATGATTTAGTTCAGTGTCGACTGTCGACGTTTTATTAATAAAAATATGGGATAGTTTTTATTGTTTTTTATATATCTACATATCTAATATATTTAAACGAGCAATTCTTGTATATATATACATAATCTGAATATCGGAAACGGCTCCAACGATTTTCATGAAATTTAGTACCCAGGGGGTTTCGACTTTCGGGGGCGATAAATCAATCTAGATTAGTTTTATGTCTGGGAAAATGCGTATTTTTCCGTTTTCGTACGGTTTTGTTTCGCACTATTCCACGCAAAATATGGTCGCTAATTCGCACGCTTGGACGTAAGCATCGTGGTTAAGCGGCCAAGGTGCAAGATCAACAATCACAGGTGTACTTGTTCGAATCTCGGGCGCATACAAAGTTTTTCTTTTGTTTTTTTAATATTTATTGAAGTTTTTAGTTTAAAAAAAGAAAGAAAATTGTACTTTAGGCCAAAAACTCCGAGCGAAGCTCGGTAGCCCAGGTATATAGTTTTTACTTGAGTAACAACCTTAAACATTATCGTACGGTACCAATGTTAGAAAGTTTCACTTTTTAGCTAATAAGCTGTGCCTATTTATATGCGTAGTAAAAAAATCATGTATGTAAATCCATTGCTCCGTTAAGATGTGGACAACGATCACCCTTTTGCCTTTATATTAATAAGGATAATAGAATTAATTATATTTCTTTGACCAGATGGTGAGATGGTGTAGGCTTTAATAACGGTATGAGGTATATAAGGATTAATCATCTTATTTCCTTACCCAGATGCGAAGATGGTGGAGGCGGCGCGGCGACAGGGGCGGGCGGGCGTACAGCATCATTGCGGCTGGCCAACGGGCGAGTGGCAGCGCAGTCGGCGGAGCAACTACCGCACTCGCCCGCGGACTGCGCCTCCGTGCGCATATCCATCGACAACACAAACACTTGCTGCACAGACTCACTCGTCACGGCGCTTGATGACGAGACTCTGTTACTCGGTTAGTATGCAAAATGATACATTTTTCAGCATTAAATTATTATAAAAAAGGAAAGCTAAAAATGTGCTTTCCTAGAGAAAAATTTACTTCTTAGTCCTAAGAAGAAGCAACATAAAGACTCAATGTGACTGATTGATTACTACATACACGTATTGATTTATTTTAATACTTATATAAAGACGTACTTTAAAATAATTTTATCCTGAATAGAAAATTATAAAGTAATCTGGACTTCACCGGTAAGAGAGGAATGAAAAATTGCATAATATTTTCCTTTTAATCGAAAAGTATCATTACAAAATTAATAGCAATAAAATATATAGGAATTTAATATAATAATTTGCTAGCAGAACCCGCGGCTTCGCTCGCGCTAAAACTACAAAGAAATATCTAAAACGGTAGTTTCATACAAACTTTTATCCCCTTTTTTTTTTTTTTTAACGTTGGGAAATGCATTTACGCACGAAGTGTGGGACTCACCGGCGAAGCCAGTACTACCCACTAAAACCCAACAAAGCCTTCCCCCGTCTTAATGGGGCGTCGCAGGATCGCTTACGCATTCAACTACGACGCCCCGACAGCAGGTCTGCCGAAGCAGACCACAACAACCATGGGGTTGCTCCACGGTCCACTCTGCTATCAGAGAAGTACCAGGAGCAACCCGCATGGTACACCGCCCTCCGAAGAAGGCCGCCTCCCACCGCCCACCGAAGCGGGCCACCTCCCTGTGCGTTTCTTAGCTTCGCGAGTACACTACTGAGCCCCCCCACCACGACAAGGTGAACGCACGTTGGGGGGGAAACTTTTATCCCCTATTTTACCCCCTTATAGAATGAATTTCGAAAAATTTTAAAACATGTATTTTTTTAATTTTATTGAAGAGCATTAATGCCAAGTTTCAAGTAATTCTGATCATAAATATTTTTTTGGATTGTATTATACCGTGTTTTCCCGTGAGATTTAGATAATCTCCCGCGATAAAAAGTAGATCTCCACCCAAAACATCAAATGACGTGAAAGAATGACAAACAAACAAACGAACAAACAAACAAACAAAAAACCAATAAACAAACAAACAAACATACAAAAAAACAAACAAACAAACAAACAAACAAACAAACACACTTTCATATTTATAATATTAAGTATGGATTATTACTAAATCATTATTATGGTTAGTTCCCTTTAAGACAACACTTTTTTGAACTTGAGTGTTATTAAAAATGAAGCTTCATATAAATCTGTAAGGTACATAGAAGAATGTAGGATTAACAGCAAATTTTAAACAATTCAAATCTCTTATCAGGGAGCAGCACCTTGATGATCCAATAGCTTTGGCTGAATTTACGTAATAGATAAAAATTCTTGTACCTTGTCATAAGTAATGAAATAAAATTACTTAGTCCGGAAAATGTATTTTTTTTTATATTTTCTAAAAATTGTAAATAATTGATTTTACATTGTATTTTATTATCTATACATATAATAAAATTTAACTAAGCCGAATCTGTACATTCGATATTTTTTGGAAAATCTTATTGAAATAAACATTATTATCGATACAGAGGCCGAATCTATGGTTTTTAGAATGTTTGTCTGTGATGAGCACTGCTAGTTTTAACTAAGAATGCAAGCCCCTTAAAAATAAGTGGTTTTATCTATAATTGCTATGATGAATAATTAATTATTCTTTAAAGTAATATTTTTATATCATCTTCACTTATACAAACGATGAAATATATGTATGTAGATTGCTGTTTGTTAAGAAACTAATTTTTAAAACAATAATGCTATTTAAAAGCGCGGTAATTTATAACCGACAATGTATTATTCGGTCAAAATCTATTTTATCTCAATAATATGATTATTATTTAAATTTATATCACAGTTTATTCCCCAGCTGTGCTGTAAAACATAAAGTTATTTTCAATACAAGCAAATAGGTATATCAAAACCCATAAGCTTTTAAAATAAATTATAACTTTAGGGTCCCTTTAGTCGGTAGTGATATATATTATTTAGTGTTATTGAAAGTGATTGTGCCAAATCAAATTGCGTGGAGGAAGGAAAGCTACTTGATATTATGTATTAATCTATACATAATATAATCAAAATTGTAACTAAGCCGAATCTGTACATAAAATATTTTTTGGAAAATCTTATTGAAATAAACATTATTATCGATATTGATGCCGAATCTATAGTTTTTTGAATATTTGTCTGTCTGTATGTCTGTCTGTCTGTTACCGCATCACAGAAAAACCACTGGAAGTATTTTGATGAAATTTGGTAGAGTGATAGCTGGTTATCCGGGTCAACATATAGGATACTTTTTACCGCGGGAAAATGTCTCATTTCTAAGAAAAAAATATAAAAATGCAATGTAAGAGTATATTATTACGTAAAACCTAAGAATTTAGTTTTTGGTCACCTTAACGCGGGCGGAGCCGCGGGCAATGCTAGCCAAAAATATAAAAACAAAACCCACCTTTAGGCTTCGCCGCAAAAAATATATTATCAATATAATAATAAGTTCAAAAACATTTCCAAATCTATATGTATGTACCTATAACTATAGAGTATAAGCAATTATTTCTATTTCAATACATTTATATCTAAAAGCACATTCAATTTTTTTTAAGCAATACAAGTATGGGCTTGCATGTGAATGCGCAACAAAAACTAACAGCAACTGGTCGATATTAAATATGATTTTATGACACAGAAGAAATAAAAAATCAAGTTTCATTTTAATCTAAGATGAAATTGAAGTTACAACTTTACGCTGGGGACTGTACCTTTTAACTGACCGCTATTAGTAACTAGTGTGAAATGAACAGGTAGTTTATGGAGACGCTTAAATGTATTTTAACAGCTTTATTTCACTTTAATTTTACACCTTAACGTCTTCCTAAAAATTAAAGTAAAAAGTTTTTATTTGTCCTTGTGGACTAAATATTACATGCGAGTAAAGCCACTAGCAGGAGCGTATGTATCCAGCCCTTTTTAACATCCCACTGCTGCAGGAGCGTACTATACATAAAACTGTTTTCCAACAAATTATGAGCATCTGTCGTATTTTTAGTAATTACCTAAATATTTTAGTACTTGTACATTGCTAGTAGCAATAAAATCTCGACCATTTTCAGATTTATTAAAAAATACTCGTATTTGCACAGGTGCGTAAAATTGTTGGAAATATAAAATATTTGACGTAATAGTAGAGAAAATAACTGCTGGTAGCTAAGTTCGATTCCTAAGTATCTTTTATATGATTTATATGGTTTAAGATTTTCTTTATTTAAATAATAAAAATAATCTTAGTAACTATGGAAATTTAATGACTTACATTGTTAATATCGAATCATGTTCATAAATCCTCCTACTTCTTCTTCTTTTCCCTGCCCATTTCCCAATCACTCAGGGTCGGCGCAGTACATCCTCTGTACTGCTGAAAGGATTTGGCAAAAGTTTTCCGACCGGCCGCCTGCCTGACGTCAACCCTCCTTGGGAATGCTATTGTCTCTCTTTGTTTCAATGGTGTCGCGGAAGTCTTGCAATTATTATGCACTTTCGATTTTGTTGTCTTTTAAAACATTTTTATACTATTACTTAAATTTTTAATGTTATTAAAATAAATTTTGATTACACCATAAATTTTGTTTTGACGTTGTCAATTTTTTTTTTCATAAATCCTGCTACAAGCTACATTTAATTATAAATATGCTGTGCATACATACACTAGATTAAATAAACATTGTTACGAGCTAGGGTTCTGGATCGGAAATTAAAGCACCTTACTACACTACCTATAGATGTTTGAGCATAAGCTTCACTAGGGTCACTGTTGGTAACTCACGTATACTCGCGTTACGCGCACAGTTTCGGCTAAATTCAGACACTATTTTTCACTTCTAGTTTCACTTTTAGTATCACTTTTTTTTACTTCTTCGTGTTCCTTCGCAATGTTATTTATTCATAAAGAAAGAATATTCTGTTACACGAAATTTCAAAAATGTTCTAGGAGTGTCAATTCATTTAAGGAAAGTGTTCTGTCACTTTCGTCGTGGAATGTGTTATGTTGGCAGTTGTCCTCGAATTTCATAATACAAGCGTTTTTTTTGCAAAAAATTCTACACTCCCAACTATGTAAGCATTAATACCTAAGCATTTTTATATAAAAAGGGGATAAAAAGTAGCTTATTTCAGTCTTTAATCCAATAATTAATTGTCCCCAAAATTGGTTGATCCGTTCCATGATTGCTGTGTGTAAGAAGGATAATTATTCATCAAATGTGCTTTTGAATTTATAATCTATACATATAATAAAACTGTAGAGATCGAATGTCTGTACATATGAAAAAAATGCTAAAAATCGAGTCAGGGGGATGTAAGAAGAGAAATAGAACAAATCTAGGTTTTTTTTATTTTTTCATTTCTCGGTCTGTTTTTCTGTTTGTACGGGCTAATCTCCGAAACTGTTGAACCGATTTAAATGAGATTTTACATGGTGGTACCTTATATCCCCGGTCAATATTTTAGACACTTTTCATCCCGGAAAATTAAAAAGTTCCTGTGGGATAGTTAAAAACTATAGTAACTTATACAGCTTAATACACAAAAATTACTATGATGATTAGATTGGGTTTTAATGAAACTTTACAATAATATAGTTCATACACCAGAATAACAAATAGGCTGCTTTTATCCTGGAACAATATACGGTTCCCGTGGGATAGATTTATTTTTGTTTGTCAAGAGGCGACCCCGAGCGAAGCGAGGGTGAGCCGCTATTCTTCTTTCTTCTTATAAATAAAAATGAATGGCTAAATGTGTTGCTAAGCGCGAAACTCGAGAATGGCTGGACCAATTCGGCTAATTTTTTTTTCAAATATTCGTTGAAGTCCGAGGAAGGTTTTTATAAAGAGAAAAATTGGAAAAACACTAAAAAACATAAATCACATTTTTGTCTTTCCTTGATACTACTTTATAATAATGAACG